TCAATGAAATATTCACATTAGATTATTGACTAAGAAATAGATAAACGCATAGAATTAAAATAAATTTAACTGAACACAAGTGGATTTTCGAAAGGTATTTTCAAAAACCAACATCCGTTTTAAAGACTTTTGTGCATAAATAATCCAAAATTAAACCCATATAATTTGCAGAATATGCTGTTGCAGTGGGTGTACGTATTCTTGCATTAATGCATCTATTTCAATTCCGAATTGCAGAAAATTTGCAGACGCCCCTCTTTTAACTATGTACCATTAACATTCACATACTCAGCTATTTTGACAACAATATAAATATAATTATGTAAATGTAATATTATTATTTTTTCTCCTTTTATATACCTTCATTCTTTCTACATTTACGAATTCAAAAACAAATTGTTCGTATAGCAAATTTTCTGTTACTGATGAGAAGAGTTAGATAAAAGATAAATAATTTTGAAAAAAATGTTTTTATCATTCTATGATTTAAGTTTTATTTTGGGTAATCACATGCCAATATCTTCATGTTACAAGACTTGAAATACCGAAAATACGAATATATTTAATGAAGTGATTTCTTGTTGTCTTTTTAAAGTTTCAGTTCTTCATTTAAAATAACAATTTCTTACCAAAATTCAATCGATGCCTCTGAACATTGATGAGGGCACACGAATTTAACAAGGGAAAAGCACTTAACCGAAACAGCTTTCAAAAACAAATTATATTAAACAATTAGATACTTCTATAAGAAAATAATTTGATTATTTTTGAAGTATTGGCAGTGAGAGATGGATAATGTTCAAAACTAAAATATACAAAATTTTACAAGTCATGAAAGATGGGAATATTATTATTAATATGGATATCAAAAGTCACGAAAGAAGACCATGGATGACGTAGTAAGGATAGTGTTTAGGAGAAAAAAAAAAGAACTGAAGCAACCTGGAAGGTATTGTCTTTAGATTTCTATCACAACCCATCGTCATCAACACTGTGGATGTCTCCAGGGCTTTCAGCTTGAATGAAATAGGAGACCCAGTGAACACGACTCATGTGGAGAACTTTATAAAAGTGACATATTAGTTTAATGTTCAATTAATACCCTAAAATAAATAGAACTTGAAAAATAAGATAGTTTTAAATAGTGTAAAAATAACGATGTCTACAGCTACACGAAATACAAGTATTCAACCGAAATACTTCAATAAACACGAAATTGGCAATACACAAAGTCATATTGATATAATTATTTAACCTCTTTAAACTGCACTTTCTCTTGTGTACTGTTAAAAGCTCTTCGACGCTCAAGGGAATAAAACACGAGGGAACAAAAAAGGCGCATAAAGAACATTTACTCTCGTCCAACATCAAAGAGTAAAAAGGGAGACACATTGAGGCAATAAAAGAAGCCGTGGAATCAGTCATAAATCATAAAAGGGACAAAAAATAAACTTTCAGCTTCATTAAGGGAACCATGAGGTTTGCCTCAAACTTCGGGACATTTACTTAACATCCCAAAGCGAACCATTATTTAAAAGTTCTACAGGGAATTGCGTATGCCATATTTTTGGAGCCCTGGCGCAGGCTTGGGCGCTGGCGCTCGCTGGTGCTGGAGGGGGAGAGCAGCAGGGATGGGGGTTGGGGCAGTCGGCTCGTCGCCAGCTTCGTCACCATGCAATGGCCACCCCACCCCCCGACACTCCGTGAGACTTCGCCTTTCGCTCACGCTCACTTTTCTTACGGCCATTTAGGCTACTGCCGTCTTATGCCGTGTGCTTCGTAGTGGCTTTTCTCCGTAGTGCTCTGGTGTATTTTGGTTACTCTTGGAAGAAGTGACGACAAACTACTTTTTTAGGAGCACAAACTTGTTGCTAAACTAAATTTTATTTTATTTTAGTGACGCTACGTAAGTAAAAGAAAATACTTAAAATTGATAAATTGTGACATTTCTGTGCAATAAATTCTGAATAATTAATTTTCTGAATTATATTATGAATTTTTAATATTGTAACCCTCGTCTCGGTTACACGGGTCTCATGAATTGGTTCCAAACAGACCTTCAGGCGAATGACCTAAGACACACACACACAGACAATATTTGTCAAAACAACAGTATGACATAATCACTTTATTGTATTTATGTAAGTGTTCAATTCCCAGATAACTTTACAACATATTTCTTCTGGTATCTTGATGTGAGTTTATACAATTAAAACAGAATTGAAAACTTGAAAACTTTCCATTTCCATTCTCCTTTCCAAATCTCCATTTTTTCTTTGTTGGACTTTGAATAAAGTGGTCCCAAGAAAATAAAACATTCAACTCTTAAACTAACTTTGCAATGAATTGTTAACTTTTTGTTTCTTGAGGTGATTTTATACAAATCGAAACTAGTAAAAATCTGAAAGGGACACACATTAAAAAACTCAGTTCGTACAACTTTTGTTTCTCACCTTATCACAACCCTCCAACATCACATTTCCACAGCACAGTGATACAATGTAAATTCAATATCTGTGGGGTCATTAACAATTACAAATTGCTTTCTTCTCTCACAAATCTCTGACCAGGTGTAGCGAATACTTTCGTAACATTCTCCGACCATTAACTTATCTTTCTGTACCAATGCTTTAGTCGCGAACACAATTTCGGCTCCGCTTTCTCACTACGTTTATTTAAATCACTACATTTATACTGATAAACTAACCTGCGAAACTCCTCTTCTCAACCGCCCTTTCAAAATCTTTTCTTCGACCCTCAAGGGCTCGATCCCCCGCTTCTCTGTCTGGCATCGCTGATCAGCTGCTGGCGCCCGATTCGCTGACGTCTCACTGTACTCTCTTCGCTCTCGCGAGGGGGACGATCCTTGCGAAGAAACAAGATATGCGTGACGGCAGTCTATATCAGCGAAAGATTTTGGTTTGAACCGTCGCTGGCTGGTGACGTAATGTGAGCGGGCGGCCACAACATATCTTTAAATTGACAATTAACGCAGTACTTATACAAGAACATTAGGAAACTATTCAGTTCACTCAAGTTAAGAATTTTTATATTTGTTACCGTTGATTACTCAAATTGCAAAAGGAAATTAACAGTGTCGGTTTAGTAACAGGAAATATCGATGGTAGGGTCACCAAAGAAGTATGTCAGATAAAAGTTTAAAAACATATACTTGTTCGCCAAAATTAATTTCTCCGGAATATAATTATATGAAATTGCTATTGACATTTGTAGAAGCAACAAAAGATAAATTACAAACATTGAATGAGTGTAACAACTAAATCACAAACATTGAACATCAGTGTGACATGAGAATCTCTGTGGCGCAGGGGATGCCTGGGTATTTGACACTACCTCACAGCTTGTAAACAGAGGGTCTAAGTGCGCAGGAAATGAGGTGATTCGAAAGAGTTTTCAGTCAACTTTAACACCGAAGTGAAGTGGATTCCACACAGAAGCACACAATTACAACGCTTTTCAATAGTTCATTTCGGCAATGTGGGGAGGAAGGAAAAAAATCATTGTTTTTTTTCAGCACTCACTGCTTTATAGTTTTTAAAGAGATGAAACTTATGGCACATAAAGAGAATATGAAGGAGAATGAACAAATTGTGATATAGGAGAACTTAGTTACCGATATTCCATTGAGGTTACTAACATATTAGGAGTGCGATATGACGAGTACGAATGGAACGATAAATACATATAAACAATGTCAAAATTGTGTTTAAATTAATGCACGAGAAAGGAATTAACGTTGGCACACTTGTAATATAGAAAGAACACAGGATAAAATGACTGCAAAATTAAACTTTCCGACAATATTTATTCTAATCAGACTCCTCGTTTTCTCAAGTAAGGACTGTGTGTGTTGTGCCGCTACTTGGCGACGATTAAGCGAGTAAAAAAGGAGTTGATAGATTTGGGCATTATTGTAGTGCCAATTTTAAAAACGTCCATCATTTCAGTCCATGTCAGAAAGCAGTAATAAATAAGTTTCCAGACACCTGGCATTAGACGGGTTCGTTGTTGCAGAACACAACAGACGAGAAGAAAAGTTCATGAAAATGACAGAAAGAAGCTGAATAAAGAAAGCAGAATGTAAAAGGAGAATCAGTAAAAGCAATGAAAACAATAAAGAAGGGAAGCAATATTAGGAGAGGCAGCAGAAGGCAAAGAGAGAGTGGGAGAGAGTGAGCAGAAAAAACAATGGGGCAGAATATGTAAAAAAATATGTGAAGCAGAAAAGGGAAGGTAGGATAAAAAAGAGGACAAAGAAGGAAACAACTCGGAGCTGAGAGTTAACATTTGGAGAGAAAGGGAAAGTGCGAGCGCCCTGTGACAAACGAGCTGAGGAGAGGAGCTAAAAGGCGCGGCTGTGCCTCGTCCGGCGCGGGGGAGGGCGGGGGAGGGCAGGGCTG